GAAGGTTGTTCTGCATGTAAACGGTCTGCAGAGTCACAAACCCTCAAAGTACACTCTGTCGGGAGTAAAACTCTAACACAGAAAAGACGTGTCTGTGCTGCCCCAGAGCGCCTCGTTGGAGATCTCTCTTTTACCATTGTTTGCTTCTTGGGAACTGTGACGTGCCCATACCCAAATGGACGCGGCGAGGCTGTGAGTCGGTGTGTGAGCACACACACAAACTCCCAGCCAGGCTGAGGGTGTGTGTGTTCGGGCTGGGTTTCGCTGTGTCTCGCTGTCTCGCAGACGGCCACTACATACTATACAGAGATGCTTTATGAGAAACCAATGTGATTTTGGAAAATTGCACAATATACATTTATTTTAGTAGACCTCAACAATGGAATTATGATCAGTAGAAATGGCCATGACATGGGACCTTTAATAGTTAAAGAGAGAAATGTATGATTGCAGAATGCCTCACTATCTTTTAAAGAGGGTGTATTATGACATCTTACTCTTTTACTGTTCTTGCACATCAGTTTGGGTAAGTGGAGTAACAGCCGACCCACAAACTGGGAAATAGGACAACCCTGTCAGTTTTCTGTGGGTGGCCTCGGTCAGAAAGCATAAGATTAAACATTCATTTTTGAATCTGCTCTTTAGGAAAAACCACTCGCTGCATTTGAGTATCACAGGTCCATCAATTATTCATACAAAATAGATAAGAACAATAAAATCCAATACAAAGGGGTGTATGCATTTTCTTCGGGGGGCTCTTAAAGAGACAGGCGCCAAAACAAAGTGTTTTAGAAAGAGCCTAGATATAGAGTGATAGTTCGAGAAAAATAATGTGTTTTTAAAAAACATTGAAGCCTGTAAACATGTTCTAAAAGGAAACAGGTAATGCAAACACAGCCCTAATAACCATCTTTATTACTGGACTGAATTGAGCTCTTCAGAATCAAGCTCCAGTATTTATTTCCCCACAGTAATAGGCCAAGACTACTTGCTCTGCTCTAAGATTATTGCAACTTTTTTTAGCCCAATTTCTTATAAATTATAATCATATTTGGCAGCTCCATGTAGTGTAAACATGTTTTGTAAAATAGCGACGTCTGGTAGTCCCATGTTGGAAGGGCTGGGTGTTTTGTATGTATCTGAAAAACGAAGTAAACCTGAATATGCTATAGAAAAATAAATTGAAACGTTTAAAGCAGAAACAGATGAGGCTTGTCTATTCAACCTTAATGTCAGTGACTACCCCATACATGTACAATTGTGTAGTTGTGATCAGCTAATCAACGGGTAGCTTGACTCTATCCAAATGTCGCTTAATCTGTGTCCTATTTTTGAATATTGAGCCGAATACAGAGCGATGGCATCGAGAAATGTAAATATGTTAAGTATAAGGTTACTTGAGAGGTGATGGATCCCACTGTTCACCCCGCACTGCTTTTATTTCCCTCACATTCTGTGCTCAGCTTGCAGTCCGGCCTCAAATTAACCAGTCTCCTTCTGCTTCATGCTGGGCACCATTTACTATGTACTTGACGTCTTCCTTCCTGCCCCATTATGTGCAAATTGGGCTAATCTTGGCATACAATTAGAAAGTAAAGTCACTACAGAAATCAAATTTAAAGATATATCCGACATGTCAGCCTCCATTTTTCAGATTCCATTTCGTTGCATCAAGCTTTCTCTTTGCTATTTGTTTGTTTTCCTTCCTGCAAGGTGAAGAAGGGCACAGCATTCATGTTATCCTATCCTCCCCCCAAGTGCTGAAATCTTCCTCCTCCTGCCATGTCACTTTTCTATTTACCACCCTTCACACCGTGCAGCCCTCCTCTTCCTCTCTCATGATCCATCCAGCTTACTGATTGCGTCACCCATGGCAACAACAGCTTTGAGGACTGTCACCATGACAGAGCTCATTTGTCAGATTTCCGATCTAGTGTTGTTTTGTCTAGTAATCAATCCCCCCCACCAACCTCTGCTGTGAGCTCTCACTGTGAACGAGAGAAGCTTAGAGGACGGATCTATAAATAGCCCCGTTGTGTATACTGTAGGTGTTTCATTAGCTGTCAGCACACTGGATGTGTCCCCTGAGAGACGGCTGCTGCCACCTGCACCGCCGCTGGTTAGCTGAGGATAGCACCATGTGTGTTGATGTTAGGAAGATAGGATCAATCAATCAATCAAACTGTATTAATCCTGCAAGGAGCACTTGGTTATGAGCAGCTTATGTCACGTACACAGGCAGGAACATACGGGAAGAAAGCACACAGCCTGGATGTGGATCGTTCCAATTTACACGATAAATAGTTCATAGCATCACAATAAATAAGTAAATAAATAATCAAGAATTTCAAAGTTTGAGTGCAGAGGAGATGAATGATTTTGAAAAGCGATTTGTCTTAAAGGTCCCATGTCATGGCCATTTCCACTTATCATAATTCCATTGTTGAGCTCTACTAGAATAGATTTATATTTATAACTCACTTTGGTTTTTCTCATACAGCATCTCTGTGAACTACGTGTATTCACTGAATTTCACTCTCTGCCCTTAACGGCTCGTTGTAGCTCCAGTAGCTCCAGCCCCCACCCTCCCTGTGAGCACAGTGTGCTCTGATTGGTCGGGACGTTGTGAATCGCGCTGAGCTCCGTGGAGGTGTGGTTTCCTTGTTTAGCGACAGCGAAACACAACCAAACTCACTCTGAGCACACACAAAGTCACAGCATAGCCGAAACAATAAGTGTGGCTTGATATTGAGTAAGAAAAAGGTTGATAAACGCTGTGAGAATGGGTCTGCAGAGAGAATTTCTCCGCGATCCCAACTGTCTGTTATCAGCCTGCAGCCAGGGAGGAGAGATCAGCAGAGCTGCCTGCACTGAGTGTGTGTGTGAGGAAGTCCGTGGATTGGTCAATTTGGACCAATCAGCAGGGGCTTAACGTAACAGCTCCGCGGACGTATCGTAACGGCTCCACGGATTGGTCCATTTGGTTCCGGGTAACGCATGACATCNCACAAAAGTCACATCTGCCGACCAACGAACTAAAGAGAGTTTAGACCGTTGTCTAACCGCGTCACATTAACATGTCATTCGATGCGCTCATGACTTATTCGAAATAAAACAAACTAGGTTACGACGTGTTGACTTGACTAAGGTTCGACGACACTTTCTTTCTTCGTGCTATAGGTACAACCTATCTCTCCCAAGTTTAAATTTATTTTTTTTATTGGAATTCCCTGTTGAACTACCGCAAAAAGAAAAGAGACGCTTCGCCGCTACGCCCAACCGCTCAATCCTTCAACCTAGCCCTTTTGTAGCATAGCCCGTTTACTTTTAGTTTACTCAGCCTTCGTTCGTTTTCCACTAGCCCTGTAAGGGATAATGATTGTGGACACAAAAAATCCGATACAGGTCAGTATTCACGACGACCTATGCGTGTATAGTGTGAATAAAATAGTGCAACCTCTGTGTCCGCTTCAGAGTAGATTATAAATTCTAAACCGTTAGACTCGTTGCGAGGTTCTGTCCTCAGTCACACTATTCTGCCATTGGAAGAATTCTATAGACCTTGTAGTGACTTATCACGGTTTGGGAGTACCTTTCCTCCTACAAGACTTAAAGTACTGCGTCACTTTTCCAAAGATCAGGTAAAGGACGAATAGTTTTGATATATCACACAAATCGTCCTATATGCAGTACCCCTCTTTAGGGGTGGCTCCTCACTCTCCACCTTTTATTTCTAAAGACTGAACCCAGTGTTCCGTCAACATTAGTGAACAAACGAAGGAAATCTTCATTTGCGTCCGGAAAAGCGATTATTAATCTTACAAGAAAGGTAGCTGATTCGACATGGAACGTAGATGTTTATAGTGATTATACATCCATTTTCTGTACACAAACAATTATCGAGTAGCTGTGGTCCCATAAACTCCCCTTTGCAGTAGCTCATGATTAGTCTCATCATCTCGTCGCGTTTCTTTTTGGTGTATAGTCCTCCTACGCACCAGTCAGTCATTTATAGAAAATTCGACTACGTCATTTGGAGACGTGACGTCTTCGAGACACTACGACTCCCTCTTTTGTGTAGCCACACTTCTCTCAGGAAAGACTTTCCGCTCCTTCTCAGGCATCGGAACTAGCGTAGCTCCGTGACTACCGGTTCCAGGTTTTCCCTCTCCTCGAGTCACCTCGTAGACACAGGTTCCAGCTTCTTCTTTCCAGGAGACGTAAGACCGTATGTTGTTGTGACCGCATATATCTCACCTAAGTAGGTGATCCCATTATGTGCGCCTTGCGATGATAGAGAAATCTACTATGACCACTCAATAGCTAGATAGTAACCATAATAATGCTCGTACCGCGGAAAGTTCGGAGTTGAATAAGAAGAGAATCCTGCCCGGAGTCCAACTTACATATATAGTTAGAATAATAAAAATTAGTGTTCGACTGATAAGCATCGATACCTGGGTTCCGCGGTCACCTGCTTCCTTGTTTGGGAGAGCGGTGCAAAGTAGTTCTGACCGGTGAAGCCGTTAATTTTCACGTCAAAGGGGGCACGACCGCAACATGCACGCACAGCGCACTCATCCCCGAAGTGACTAATAACCTTTTTTTACGACTGTAACGCTATAAAAAGGGGACAGCTAATACTAATATAACGCTAGAGTCAATAAACAAAAAGGCGTTTGGTAGGAAGACTTGAAACTACGATATTTTACACCATAAAACAAATTGCTATAAATTGCCTACTTCCTAAAATCGTGCCTGAAGACCTAGAATTCAATACGTCTCGTTGTTCGACTCGAATCGAGCCAATAGGACGACACTACAACTAGTTCTTGACTTAACACTAACCCCAAACGACACGTACGTCTCGGTTTTCTCCAAAAGGAAAACATCGTTCGTCGTTTTATTAAGATTAGTACTACCAACTCAGTAAACGGATGAATTGATAGTCTGCAACGATTGTTTTTCTTTTTTTACACTCAGAATTTAGCGGACGTAGCGTATTGCGCGTAATAGCAGTGTGTGTGCTGCCCATACATAGCAACGCGGATCTACCACTCCATAAAATAAATGTGAACATACACAGTAATTACCTGTTACTTTAGCAGAGACTTAGATAAATCACTGCAAATAGGTCTCACTGATTAATCTGAAGTTATAACATCTGTACGGAGGCACTCGTTTAACCCAAATACATAAAAAAGGTTCTGTGGAACTGCACAACTGTCTTCCCCCCTCCCAGCTTCAGACGACTAACCATCTACCGGGCGATAGAGGGACGCGTGGCAGCGACTAATCAATGTTGTCTTGTTGTTTACAACAAGAAGGACGGAGAGTTTATACCTCCTAAAAGAATATAAAACAGGTTATAATTAATATAACCTCCACTTAAATTCTCTCCAATTTTTTTTTAGTGGTAACCGGAAAGACCTTGGCGTCGCCTGTAACAAAATGATTAGGGTATGTGAATAATTGGTTAACTTGATTTTAATTGCTCGACTTTTAGATATAGAGTTCCAGGTTAACATAACGAAAAGGAGCCAATAATGGGCAGGCGGAAGACTATACTTCCCAAAATACGTACATTTCGCCAGCACGTCTCAGTGCTTGGGAGTTTCATTGGGACATGCTCATTTTAGATTGTGTCTTTTATGGAGGGGTTTTGCGAGCAACCTCTTATGCAGTGAACAGAAAAAGAGTAACCTAAGAAGCCCATGGCGCGTGACTGAGAAGCAACACATACATGATGTTCTGTAATTTGAAACCAAAACTAAGGCCTCAGGATGACTTTAAGACTTGAACATGGTCATTTTGTTTGTAACATTGAATACAAAATTTAAAAAAAGGTAATTTAAAAAAAAAAAGAAAAATAAAAAAAATCCCGATCCCCGATTTTTTTTCTACCGATTCCGATCTTTTGAAAATCACGTGATCGGCTCCGATCCTCGATCACGTGATCGGATCGGGACATCTCTAGTTAGTAATACTGTTAACAACGGCTTCGATCCATTAGTCCCAGAAAGCTGGAACAATATTAAGACCCTGGACCTGTCCCATGTTAAAGTGCTGTAAACATACTTGGTAATTGTACTGTCGTCCATCTGTGTATCTTTCTGTAATTGGATATGTTGCAGTGGTCAAAATTGCTTGAGTATATCAGATTAGAAACTTGATGCTTCCTTTCAATTTCTTAGTAGAAAAGTAGACAGCATTAGATTGTAGTAAGGGTACTTCTAAGTTATTAACCTCATAGCATAATTAGCATAAGGATTATAATGGTTTTATCATGCTTTTAGAGGGTGTATTGTTACATTTGTAATAGCATTTGTTTTGAGTGATTGACTCATCCTAATGATGGCTGTGTCCCCAGGCTTGTGGACGACCGCTGTGTGGTGCAACCCGACACTGGAGACCTCAACAACCCACCCAAGAAATTCAGAGGTAAGGCCTCAAAATCTATAGTAAATGTCAGGATTTTCAGAAAGTTGAGGGTTTCATAACTGTGTCTGTGGTAATTCTTCTTTTTTCAGAAGATTAGGTCAAAGCTATTGTTGCGATTGGACTCCTTTGTTTACTTCTGTAACATAGTGACATCAACATGTAACTCTAACCCTTCTATTGGTGGCGGTTAGCAAATCACAATAGAGCTGGCCAGCTAACCAATCAGAGCATACTGGGCTCTGGTTTCAGACAGAGGGTGAAAAGAGGAAACAATAATGACCTTTTTTAAACATTTAAAGTATGTAAACATGTCACAGTAGAGGCAGGCATACAAATATGAACTAAAATGGAGCATAATGTCTCCTTTAACCTCCATATCTATTTTCCAATGTGGTGTTTGGTGTTACCAGACAGGTCAGGTGAATTTTAGGAGTTATAAAAGCAGCTCTGGAGTATCTGATTCCAAAACATTGAAGGGAAAAACAATGATAGTGCCTAAGCTGTTAACTGATCTGTCAAAGGTCAATATCTCCAAGCTAACATCTGATCATACTAGATGGCCTGACAGCTGCTCCTACATTGATTGTGCAAGCCTCCAAGAACTCCTTTAACAACAGACACTTTGTCCTCACATTTCTCGTTGTTGTTAATCTGGGTTTTAACTGCCACTCAACCGATTCCCGGAAAAGATGTATCAAAATGTTTACTTTTTCATAACCCCGCATACCTTTTGTTTATTGTTGTGGCATTCAAAACAACAAGCTGCAGGTTTGGTTGTAGACTTTTTTTCTTCATTCTCAATACACCTGAATCAGAATTCTCATTATGTGCCAGCTAAGCAATCAGAGCAGACTGGGCTCTGGTTTTAGACAGAGGGTGAAAAGAGGTGCTGCGGCACAGGAAGTATGAGAAGAATAAATACCTTTTTTTTTTAAACATGTCACAGAGAGGATACAATTATGAACCTGCACGAGTATTAAAGGGCCCCTTTAAGGCAAGAACAGTCCATACGTAGTAACAGGCTTATGTCATTTCAGTTGGGCGTTGGTTGTCTTTTTGATTTGTTGTTTCTCATGTTGTTGAGGATTGCATTTCGTAAGGGTTGTTTGGTTCAGATTGATTTCTATTGCTGTTGTATTTTTACTCAAAAGTAATAGTAGATTAAGTGGCTCTGCTGGGTGAGGGCCCATTTCTTTTTCAGATCTGCTTGAATTATTAAAGGCGGTTTTTGTTCACCAGATAAAAAAGAAATGCTCTTAGGCGATTATCAACCACAAATTCATTTCACTCTGGCATTCCACCGAAAGGTGCTTCCCTGTGTTGGGAAATATATTGTGTTTCCTGAAACCGTTTTGAGATGCTTAGTTATATTTGCATATTATCTGGTTTGAGGCCTGCATTTGAAATAGAGCTTGACTGCAGACGTGATCATTTGTTAGCTTAAATGCGAATGACCTCTGTTGCTTTCAGATATCTGTCTTAAAAGAACATTTGGCACGCCGTTAGACGACCAACAGCTGTCTGACATAAGACAGGAAGGATAAATTGTGCAGTTTTATGGAAAATTCTGACCCTGTCATCAGTCGTAAAAGAAATATATGATTATCTGGCCTGCTGACAACAGATGCAGCTAATATAGTAGCCACTAAGAGCCTAACATCATTGGCTGCCACTTCCTAACAAATACATTTCTATATATATGTTGGCAGGTTTCCAAAATAAGTTTTAAATGAATTAGTCAGGTGTGAAATAACACCACTGCCAATTTCCATTTACTTGGAACAGTGCACTTTCCAAATTGATGAAATTAAATTGACCTTTTATTTTCTGTCGGAAACAATGAAGGGCCTTATTTTTCATGTCCCTGTCATTGTCATAATTGGTACTCTAGATTGATGGTCACAAGGAACAGGAACACGCACACACAGACTCACTGACTGTGAAACTAATTTAGTTGTATATCATGTTGCCTTTTCAGATTATTTTTGACCTGGCTAGCTTTGAATAATAGTACATAAAAAAACTGAGATACATTTAAAGGTGGGGTATGTCATTTATTTCAGAAACACTTTTTTGTTATATTCCATGGAATGCTCTTAACATCCCGATAGCAATGAATACATTAAATGCTTTGACAATAAATACATAAAAACATCTGTGGAAGCCGTGGCGCTGTAAAAAGCACGACCAATCATCTGAGCCGGCCCGGCTAAAATAACTGGATGGCCTACCTGCCTGTCAGCCTTCCATCTGTGCACAAACTTATCTCGTGCCCTCATTGGTCATCTGCGCGTCCGTGTGTGTTGGAGGAGGGGCTCTGTATGGAAGTCTGAAGGAAGGGGCCGATTTTGTCCGGTTGTGTATTTTCAAATTCTAGCGCACTCGAGCTGGTTTCTCCACAATTACATAACCCACCTTTAAGTACCAGTATATATTTTTCTCATTTTGAAGAAACGTATTCCTTAAAGGAGAGGTGTCATGGCCATTTCCACTGATCATAATTCCATTGTTGAGGTATACTAAAATAGAAAAATACTGTGCAATTTTCCAAACTCACATTGGTTTCGCATACAGCATCTCTGTAAAGTATGTGTATTCAGCAGTATTGACTTTCTCCACTAAACGGCTCGCTGCAGCTCGCCGTTACGGGTGCGTGTTCGTAAGCAGGGAGTCACGGGCGAAGAGAATCAAGATGGATGATGACTGTTTCACCAACGAGGGGCGTTTTGGGGACGGGGTATTTTCGTGTGTTTAGAGTTTTAAAAGAAAAAACCTCGGCTACGAGGGTGAACTGTTTAGGGTTTTGACTCTGCGAGACCGGTTTACATGCGAGGAAAAACGCGTTCATCAGCACAAGGGGACGGGGTAATAGACGCGGAAAGCGCGGATGACGATGTGCACCTTTAAAAGTTTGCGAGACACTGAAAAGT